TTTATGTGAAGGGATTTGTTTTTGCTTTCCTTGAAAGTTTGTACTTTTGCTTTGCTTCTTTTATTTATACATGCTTGAACTCACTAAAAGTTCTCCTAATTCTCTATTATCTTGAGTCTTCTTTCAATTGTTTTTCCTCTTTGTCATAATAATATCTTGCAAGTACTTATTCATTCAATAGTCATCGTGCTCTTTTTGCCTGTCAAATCCTGTGTTAAGTACTTCAGATGACATAAGCAGAAAATTTCCCTGTCTTAACAAAGCTCAAAGTAATATTTAGTTGTAATGTGGGTAGGATAAGCTGAATGAACAAATGATTACATTAAATGATGTAGTGGCCATAAGCTGGGCTGATGGGGTCCTAAGGGCTGGTGGTGGTGGTGGTAGAGGTGAACGGGAGCTTAGGTATGCAGAGGGATCTTACATGGGTGACGCCTGAAGCCTGGCAGAAGATTTAGGGCAGGGAAAATATTTCAGGAACTGAAGTAAAGCCAGAGTGATTGAACGTGGAGAAAGACGAGAATGACGTGGAGGTTGGGCTTCAGCAGTGCTCAGAGGTAGAGCTTAAGGGCTTTTGCGCCACCTTGCTAGTTTTCATCAGCACCTGTGCATTTTATACAGTATATTGCTACAGTTATTTGGAAATTTTAAAGAGACCATTAAGGTAATTCTATTTTTCTTCTAAAAATAGTGGATGTTTCTTTATAGACTGGATATATCTTACAATAAATTTGTACTACTTCTATATGCCTCTAGTTACGCATATTTTGTCAAAATTTCTTTCTGTAAACTTTACTTTTTTGGGAAAATAAAACATATATAGTAAATATACTTTTTTCATATTTTGGAAAACTCCTATGTTCCTAACCACATTATTCAATCATCGCCCCACGATACACAGTCCCTTAGTCTCTCCTGTCTCTGCCTCTACCTCTGCCTCCCCCTGCCCTCCCGAATTACCATTCTTCGCTGTAATTTTCAATAGCATTTTGCTGAATACTTTCCTATTTAGAATCTCTTTGCTTTATTTCTAAAGTACAGAGCAAAATACTTCTATATTTTTAATTATTTTCTCAGTTGTTATTTTTACTTTTATTTATTTATTTATTTTCCCAGTACCGGGAACTGAACTCATGACCTTGTGCTTGCCAGGCAGGCGCTGTGCTGCTGAACTAAATCCCCAGCCCCTTCGGTTGTTATTTTTATTAGTCGGAGTTTGCAGTACATAACGATCACATTCTCCATGGTGATTGTCCGTGTACATACTACAACTCAGTTACTTTTCCAACCTCTTCCCTGTTCCACCTCCTTTATAGCATTACACTTCACTGCGGCTGTTTGTTATGATTATTCAACCTCACTGATCTTTTTAGTATTTTTCTAGCCTGTCATGAACTTTAGTGTGCATGACATTTCAGCTCCGTTGTATTTTCAGCTTCCACTGCAGGTAAACATGTAGTTTAAATTCACAATTATATAAATGCTTCATCCCATTGTCTAGAGATCAGCAATATGTAGGAAGCATCTGTCTTACAGTCTTAGCCTTCCTTGTTTTCACTGAAGAACCATGAATTCTTCTCTTACAGGCATTCCACGTATCATCACAGATTGTGTTTCTTTTCTTGATTTCAGCATTATGAAGCTTACACTTGTATTTTAGATGCATTTCTAGCTACTCTATTGGTGTACTATCAAACTTATCATATGAATTACCTTTACCAAAAATAGTTGTTAATTTTTACTCATTTTTTTATTTTGCTAAGGTTACATTTGCTGTTATTTTATATCTGATGTGTTCTGCTAATGTTTTAGGTTGAGAAGCATAAGGCGCATGCACATGTGCATGGAACAGCTGTCTGATTAATAAATTGAAATTAATCCTTATGACCAAAAGGTGCAATATTGTCAGCCTACCAGCCATTGTATGCATAGCCCTACTTACTGATTACTGCTTCCTTCCCTTTAGAAGTGCCCAGTAAACATTCTGATTTGATGGTGTTCATTGCATTCCTTGTAATATGTTCCTATTTACATAACTTGAATCTCTCAGTACATATTCTTTTTTATATCCCATCTGGGATTACTTTTCTCTGGTGCCAATCATAATCTTGAAAAACACAGTCTGTAATGCCACACTATCAAATGTTGAAATCAAGGAAAATCAAAATCTGTAAAGTTAAAGAGACACAATCTTGAAAGATTAAAATTCTGAATGTGGAAATTTTGAAAACCAAAGTCTTAAAAATAACAATCTCATTGAGGGAGTGAAATTCTAAGAGGGGTACAAAACTGAATTCTGGGGTAGGGAATCACATGTTTTGAGTTCTGTGCAAGCAATTTGCTTCATGTTAAGTGGAGCGAATGCCTAGAAATCTGTACAGCATTGTGTTAGCTGTGTCTGTGAGGGTTTTTGCAGAGATTTAAGTACAAGCTAAGCCATGTTACACTAATTAAAGCGTTACCACTTTGCACATGGTTTGTCATTTAACTTCCCCATAACTAATAACCAGTGAACCAATTCCAATAATAAATCTTGCTTCCTCTATTCACATATCCCATTGGTTCTCCTCTTCCATAGCACATGACTGTAAATGATTTCTTATTAACTAGAGGGCCACACTGCCCCCATTGGTCAGAGTCCATCTTCCCTTCAGTCTCACAGCCTTCTCTTTTGGGTGTTGAAGTGTCCCCTGAGTGGAAGTGATCTCATCTGATAGATTTTCTTTTCTGGTATTTCAACTATTTTTGGAATTTAGACTTAGCTATTCTCTACTATCTTGTCACTTCTTTAAATTCCTAGAGAAATACGTTCCTTATTTTTCAGTTTTTAAAAGTTGTTATCAGGAGAAACATTGGTCTAAATTACTTGATCTGTCAAATTGAGTCTACTGTCTCATTATGTTTCCTGAGATTGCCATTAGCAATCTCTCAGTCATGTGCTGTGTAAGAGGAGAACCAATAGGATATGTGAATAGAGGAAACAAGATTTAATAATGGAATTGGTTCACTGGTTATTAATTATGGGGAAATTAAATGACAGACCATGTGCAAAGTACAGACACTTCAATCTCAGAAGCATTGTCCAATGATTTAAGACATATGTTTACTCCTTCATCTAACAAATATTTCTAATCATCAACCATGTACCACCAACTCTGGCAAGCACTTTAGGATGGGAAGGACATTAATAAAGACAGTGGAGTTTGTGATTTAATGACAGGACCTACTCTGCTTTACTTACTAGGATTAAGGCCTGGGAACCATAAAGCAAAGCTCACAGACTTTGAAGGAAATAGCAATTTGTTAAAGATTATGGTCTAAGATTGTATAATGATCATTAAATTAACATTTGTGAAAATCAAAAGGCTTCCTTTGCCAAAAATAAAATTGTATCTTTTTGTGGAATTGTAGTATATTCCAGAAACATGGCAAGAGGTAATACATATTGCTGTTTAAGTTAAGGACTTTGGAAGTAAATAGACTGTATTTAAATCTTGACTTTATGATCCAAAGGGGGTATAAAATTTGATAAATTGCTTAAATTTCATAAATATCAATGCCCTTGTTGATGAAATAAAATTGGTAATAAATTTATTTCACAGGGTATTATTAATATTTATAAAAATATAACAATGTCATATAAAAAATAAGTATTATATAAAATAAATAATTTATATATAATTTTTATAGAAACATATTTTATATAGATATCTAAAACAATAAATGTTACATAACATATATGAAAGATCATATTTGCTAAAATTTTAAACATGGATGGCATATGTATCAACTTGTCTGAGTCACGGTGCCTAGCTATTTACTCAGAAGTTATTCTGGATATTACCAATGTGGAAGGGTGGATTTACTTTGAAATAAGAGGAGTTCGGTTAAAGGAAATTGCCCTTAATAAAGGGGAAAGACCAAATCCAAACAGTTGCTGAAATTACTAGGTCAAAAAGCAAACCTTACAGCAAGAAAGGGAGGGATTGCAGTTGGCTCACCGCCTTGAGACTGTAAGTGCAATGTTGGTTGGTTTTAGGGGCTCCAGCATGGTGTCCTCACCTGCTCATTTTATACTTGGCAATCTCAACAATTATTTGACACTTTCCTTAAAATACAGGTCTCTCTCCATGTATAGTATCCATGTTCACAACAGTAATATGTACGCTTTACAAAACTAGTAGAATATGTATATGTTCTAGTAGAATATGCAAATAGTTTATTAGTTCTGTGTCTCTGGAGAATGCTCACCATTTCTCCTGCATAATTTTTTCATCACTTTTCTAATAAAAGCGTTTTAATAGACATGAGATTGAGCATTGTGAAAGACGGTACATTTTAATTTTCACTAGTTTTGACAGTGGCCTAAAGTTATTGTGGTGGAGCTCATCTCATATTTTTCCTATTGATAAAAACTGAAAACCTTTTACAGAGGTTCCCCAATCCCTGACTCATGGTGTTCATGCGAGACGAGTCTTACTTCTGACCAGGTGAATGCAGAAAGTGTGGGAGACCGCATGTGTTTATGTGCTTCTGACTGTGTTCCTTGGATCATGACATTTATGTCATTTAAATGGTTCTAGTAATCTGTATTTTTCTTTGTCCTTAGCCATGAAGCCTTCAATCCTGCATTCTTTGCCTGACCTCTTTCTCTGATGTATCCTCTTCCCCAACTATCTCTAAAAAACAAAAGAAGGGGAGAATTTGGAGGAGAAGTAAGACAGCAGTGGCTCGATGCCTCATTTTTTCTGCAAATCTCTTACTACACTTCTTGTTGTTTGTGTTAATCTTATCCGTTCCCAGATTTCATGAAGTAGGTTGCAATACTGTGGAGATCAAAAAAGATACATCAGTCATGTTAGTATCTGTAAATACCAGGAACATACGTGTTTAATTTAATACATGGAAAGTAAATGAAAATATTTAATTCATTTGAAAATGTCACATACTTAATGCAGGGAACTAAAAAACACACACAGAAACTGAACGTTATCAAAAAGTGTTTGGAAATTTGCTCTTCCTTTTATTGCCACCGTAACAATATACTTTTCAGCGGGTCCTTACACTATTCATCAGTTTTCTGCTTTGCTGTTTTTAAAAGTAGGAAGAATGCATGCTGTTAATCTAGAAAAGAAAAGGAAATCAATGAGGACAGCACTGAATATAGTATAAAATAAAGTTTAGAGTCATTTATACTGAATGTTACCATGTTCTCAAATAGTAAAATGTGTGTAATACAATATACTAGGTGTAACACCAAAATATACAGGGAAATTCATGAACTTTCACACGAATAATGACCACTCAATTGGGGAAGCTGGAGGTTTGTGACTATTTCAATGGAAACCATGGTAATGTCTGTACTGGATTTCTTTCCTGACAGTGTCACACCCCTCTGGCTATCAAGATCTTAAGCCCTGCTTTCATCAGGCTGAATAACTCCACAAAATGATGCTATGAATGATAGGTTTGTTCAATGTAATTTGCATCTGTCTAACTTGAAAGATTGATATAAACATGCAAACTAATAGTATGCTGCTAATCAATTAAGCATAATCTACATAGAAATTATTGTCTTTTCCACAGAGCAAATAATGTTCTATTTTGGTGAAGGTGAAAAGAAAATGGGGAGTCGTTATTACATAGTTGTTAGTATTACAATAAAGAAAAGGTTTCAATAATTTTTGTTTCAGATTTATTAATGAAGCAAGGTCAGGGAGCAAAACTATCAGTGTATTCTAGCAAGCCCAGAGATTGTGGAGCTAGAGATAGAATGTATTTGACATCTTCCAGTTTCATATATGAAGTATGGGTGATGATGACCGCTACCTTGTAGGGTTAGTTACTGCAAGGATTAGGGGGAAATATTTATATAGTGGTGAAACACTATTATTACTTCTGAACCTGAGATAAGGATAAAAAATATTGAGCTGTTTGAAAGTCAATATTTCTGTGATTTCAGTTTTAGGACAGCTTTAATCTAGGTGATGTGGTGTTAAAAGTGCTAAAAATGCTTATCCACTCCTCAAAATTTTCGGTAGCAGAACAATAATATGCACTTTTCATATTACTCAATGCCTCATTTTCAAGAACTTGTAACTCTTAGTAACTTAATAATTCCTTAGATTTGTGCCATTTCTTGAAATTTACACAGCTTTTTCTTCTTTTACTATTTTAATTAATTTTTACTAACAACTGTGATTTACACATTTTAAAGAGAATTATTTCAAGGTTGTAAGAGTGGTCTGTGTCAGATCTGAGATGTGAATTTAAAACTTTGAACTCCAATGACCATAAGCAGTAGTCTTCCCGGGCCACATGGCCAATGGAAAAGCGATACCTGGAAAGGCTTTCTGTCATGAAGAAGTTAAGTTGCTATCATCACAGACACAGCCCAACACAAAGGACTACAGGACAGGTTATGATGGTAAACCGCATAAACAAGTCCACACTGCAAAGACAAATTGAGGAGGAAGTTTGAATGGGAGCATTACTGAGGGGCGCTGTGCTATCACCAGATTTCCCAGAGCTGGGAAAGGACTCACGAAGAGGAAGGAAAGATTCCTTCACACATAGCTCTTCACACATCCTTCACACATTCCTTCACACATTCCTTCACACATCCGTTCTAACTAAGGGACGCCTGAAGATGCAGGTGGTAACCTGCCTGTATGGCAACCTCAGCTTTCTGACTTGTACTTTGTCATCTAATCATAAAGTCAACTGCTCATCCAGTCTCACCCAGTCTTCAGCTTCTATCCATCAGGCTCAGCTCTAGGTACTAGAAATGCAACAGTAAATACAATCCATAGGAACGCCTGCCTTCCATGAAAACAGATTATGGTAGGAAATATTAAAATGCTCACGGACCTCTCCAAACCTATATTCTTCTTCATCGGTGAGAACTCCGAGGGTCTACCCTTCTTCTTTCCTTATTAGTCCTTACAATGGCTATTTAATTTTTTTATTTTTCTGAAGGTCATTCTAAACTTTGTAGTCTGGAGTTTCTGTGTCTTATGTGGCTATGCATGCCCTCCAAAATTACACTTCTTCACTTTGTCAAATATATATATGTCCTATGTCATATCTATATATATGACATGTCATATCTATATGACATATGTCACATATTGATATAAAAACAGGGAATGATTCTTTGTATCCATAATAAATGCACTACCTTACATACTTGCATACTAGTTTTGTTGAATAAAATATTAAACTTCCTTTGTAAACACACGAAAAAGCCAGCCTTGCATTATTCAATGTTCTGTCTTTACCTGGTTTTGTTGATTGCATTTTGGAAAATATTTAAATTTTCCAGTTTGTGGGTCCTCATTGATCAAATGCTTAGATAGTTGATAAACTTCATGAACTTCAGACCACCAAGACTTATTTTTCTCTGCCCATAAAGATCTTTGAAATAGAGGAACATATAATTATATTAATAGAAATACAAGAAAATATTATATTTACAATTAACTAGCACTGTTTTCTATATAACTTTAAATTCCTTGTACAGTAAAAATAAGAAAGTTATCAATGAAATAAATATACAGAGGTACATCCAAATGTGTGCATATAAATGTACAAACACATAGTGATTGACATTCTTACTAGGATTATCAGATCTTCTAAGCAGCATATTTTCCCAAAGATAATTTTTTAAAAAATGAACAAATTCCAGAACCATTAGGGAGAAAAATCACCTATGGAGCAGGAGTAAATCTGAAGAATCTAGCAAAATTTGGGATAGCAACTTGAATAATGATCCGAAAGACTGACAGGGTGATGGACAGACTTCTGTAAACCCGAGGAGACCATGTAGGAGTTCTTTGCTCTCTGTCTGGAGTCAGAGAAACTGGCATGTTTCTCTTAACCTGTGACTGAAGTGTGTTAGGATGGATGACGAGTTATGGTGGAGTTCTCTTCCTTTTCTTGCCGTAGTTTCATAAATAGAGAAAAAAATATGCTGTTAGACATAGGCTATAAACAACCACACTGATTTCTTAATTATCCTTTTGTGATTTGTTTACTTATTGTCTATTCTTACCAGGACAATTAGCTTTATTTTGCTGCGTTCGGAAGCCACTTAAGTATCTGCTCACGGCATCTGTTAGTATATCCTCACTCTTCTCTGCATAATTCTTGCTGTACCATTGACTGGGCCTTTCCTTTCCAAAGCTCTTCAGCTCTGCGCAATCACTTGTGTGATGGAGAAGTGACATACATGCACTCACCTCATTTTTCTATGACTTAACAGTTGAGTGACTGTGTCTAAGTTACTTACCTATCTGCATGGTCTCCTACTTCTGAAATAAGTCCTGCCTAGTGCTGTTATGAAGACTGAAACTGTATGCAGATCAGCTGGGGCTCTGTGAGCTCCCCTAAATGCGTGTCCTCCTGTCCACACCACAGCTCTTGGTGTGACTCTGTTCTTACCATTATTTATTTATCTTTGTTGTAAAAAAAAAAAAGGAGTGAAAAACAAAACATACTTTTGAACTTTAATGTTACACATGAGGAAACACATTTACCAGCCCAATTCATTTAGCTAGAAAGCCTAGAGATCATTGTAAATAATGTAGCTCTACAATTTTCATGTTTACAGAGGAGACTAGGTAGAAAGGAAATAGTGTTGGTTCTTATCACAAGTGAGGTTCTGTGCCAGACACTTAATATCTGTTATGTTAGACTATTTCTAGCATAATCCTACACAGGGATGTTTATTTCTTAAAGATCTGATTTAGGCATGGAGGTTAAGTAATTTGCTATTGCTCACCCAGCCAGTAAGTGGTGAAATATAGATTAAAATCCAGACAATAGTGGCCTTAAAATCTATGTTCTTTCTCCTAACCATGCTGCCTAACTATGTGTGAAGGAATCTTTCTTTGGAATAATTCATGGTTTGAGGAGACCAAGTAACCTACTTAAGGCAAAGCCTTAGCTTGTCGGTGCAATGCTAGTCTCCTGTATGTTCATGAGTTTTTTCTTTAACCTTTGAAATATTTCTTATAATCATATTTACATATTTCAGCACCTTTTCTTAATCTCCTAATTCCTCCATGATTTCTGGATCTACACATCCTTAGATCAGTCTTTCTGTCAGGAAGAGATCACCTAGTCCTGGCCCTCAGATGACCTCCAGTGTGATTTTGCCAACATGCAGCTGTAATTGTCTTCTTCTATGTCAGCTTATTTTGTGAAGGGCACTAGTGAGGGATTTTGAAGTTTTCTGCTAAGTATTAAAAGCAATTATAGCTGCATATGGCTAATAACTGTCTTAACAGAACCATTTAAAGCTGATCCAAGTACAATTATATAAAGAAATGTGGCAAATATGTATATTCATTCCTTTTATGAACTTGTACTGGTCAGAAAGTCTAAACTTTTTAGTTACCTCTCCTTTTTTGTTTGATACTGTTTTTTTCATTTAAAAAAAAATCTGTCTTTTCAGATCATCTGTTCTTTGGAGTGATTGCCTTAGAAATCCTCTACATTTTCAAAATAATAGCCAGGGAGTTTTTAAATATGGTTCTCAGATATGTGAAATATAGTTGTCATAGTAGCTGAATTTTAAAACTGATGACATCATTTTAACATCATAGTAGAAATGAAAATTCTTAATTCTACCCATTTAAAAGAGCTGCTCACAAGTTCGTGTTCCACAGCAGGTTCAAATGGATAGAATCAGACCTACCAACAAGCTTTCATCTTCGGAGATGTAAACACAGGCCTGGCCCTCTCTTCTGTCATGATATCTTCTGTGAATATTCTTGGTCAGGAGTGCAAAGCGCGAGAGGGCTGATTGCTGCTGAGCTGAGCCCTCAAAAACACTGCGGACTTTTCACATGCACCAACCCGAGGCTCCACTCACCACTCTTGCTGGAAAGGCAACTCTTACAACATCCTTCTTTCTACTATTCAATTTCAAGATGTGTTGTAGATCTGCAGATAAATTCCAGCAGGTAAAATAAGGGATCTTACTCAAAATGGCATTTAGGATTAATGATGAAATAGAAAATAAAATGCTGAGGACTCAGTAAATACTGTCCTCTCTCTGCCTTTTATAAATTCTAGTGCAGTGAACATTTAAGTAGAATGTATAGTAATGCTCCATCTCACAGGGCAGAGAATATAACTATTGAATATAGAATATATTATATATTATAGAATATAACTACTATGGCTCTGTAGAATGGAGTCTGTCACTGCAGATTTCCAATATATGCTGATTAAATCAACCTATTTGTAGTGGTATCATTTCAGTCATACGCAGTTATGTAAAGATCTATATAAGATTATATGTCAATGTTATTGAAAGTACTCATCTATAGTGTCTTCAACATATATTTAAGCTTACTCTTTTTTTTTGTGAGATCAGGAATTGAACTCGTGTCCTCACACTTGCCAGGGAGGTGCTGGGCTGCTGAGCTATATCCCTGGCCCAATTTAAACTTATTCTAAGAAATAACGAATTGTGTAATCATTTCTATTTTCAGCTACTGCCTGTTGTTCATTTATTTGAACAAAAGTCTGTCATAGCGAAGTTTTTATTTATGCAACTACTTTTAAGTTTCAAATTAATTTCACAAACATTTTTTCTAGTTGATCTATAAAACATATTTAAGCAATCAAATTATTAGCATTTATATTTTATGAGAGAAGGAACTAAAGTTAATATATACGTTTAGAAAATCCATTAAAAATTTGTGTTCATAATTCGATATGGGTATTCATTATAGCACTGAGTATGTGTCAGAGAATTGTATTTTGGATTTTTCCAGAATGGTTTTCCCTAAGTGGATATGCAATATCATTACAGTTGTAGTGAACAATAATTTATGTTTGCCTTCGTTTAGTTTCTTTGTGATCTTAAGATAGTACAGATCCCTCTTGACTGAGGCTGCAGCCATTGCATATTCTGTGGAGGCCATGTCAGCAGTGGGGAAGTGAATGCCCCTGCTGTGTTTTATCTGGTTTCTTAGAGATAAGTGCTCTAAGGTCAAGATAAGTTTTTATGCTCCTGTGCTCTCTATTAATTGCTTTAGATTATGATAATAGGGCAGGGCACAGAGTTCCTTCCAATTTATTTCCTAATTAGTGTGTGTATGTGTGCATGTGTGTGTGTGTGTGTGTGTGTGTGTGTGTGTGTGTGTGTATACAATATGTCTCGGTGGAAAGAAACAAAAACAAGTAATGACTAATGCATTAAAAAAATATGGAAGAGGAAACATGATAGATACTCTGACAGCCAGAGCAGTATTAGAAATGGTTCTGGGCCATGCTGGAAGCTGTCCATTTAGATTAAAAGCAAAAACAAACAAAAAACCCCCATGAAACCATGTTGCTTACAGCCCTAACAAATCTGAAATAGAAGATTAATTTTATTTGCATAGAAAGCCCATTATTTGTACAATTAATGATTAGTATGTCTCCTCAAATCTTACATGTCCTTTTAAGGATCCCTGTGGTGTGTTTGCAAATATTTAGGTAGGAGGAAAAAGTTTGTCTCGCCTAATATATTTCCATGCCATCTTCATTCTACTGTTAACTTTATTAAATTTAAAATTTTGTTTTTCTGCTTGTGTTACATTGTATCTCCCCTTCTCCAAACTTGATTAAAATGTGATTCACTAATGAATAAAACGTGGTGGAAAGAGTAGTATAACTAGTACAGCCCAAAATACCATCATAAACAAGATGTGAACTGGTCTCCAGGGGTAAACATGGAATGCAAGTCATATATGCTGGGAGAAATAAATCTGCAAGTGTCAAGATTCTACATATGCAGCAGGAAAAAAATGGCCAGTAAGAAGTACACCTACGAATTTCTAAAAATTTGAATTATATTTGACTGAAGGCTGATTTATCACTGTTTCCCAATTCATTTTCAGTTTATAAAGCCTTGCTGAATAGGAATGTAAAAGTCTGGCTGGACTATTTCTTGAAGGATTAATCTGCATGCTCCTCTGCTTCCTTATGAAGTCTCTGGCTTGTACAATGTGAATTTTTCCCTTCCCTGACCTACATGAGTAAAGGAAAAGCAACCATTTGAAAATCACATAGAAAAAGTCTAAGATCATTCAAAAAGGGAAAAGATGAAAGGGAAGAAATGTTCAGAGAAGTGAGAGAAAGGAAGGCGATGTCAAAGCAGAGAGAAAAGGGCTGCATAGGAAGGGCTCAAAAGCCTCTGGTGTTTCTGAGGAATCAGCAGAAGGTACTGTCACTTCTGGGAACCAGAAGCCTGTATGAACATTGACCAAAGGCTGAGCATTTTGGAGTTTTTACTCCCTGTAAGGTCAGCAGTCATACAGACTTTCAGATGATTTAAATACCCAGTTACAGTGGAAATATTCCATAGTCCACAGATTCTACTTTAAATTTTCCACTCCCAAATGAATCATTCTGAGTAGCTGACTCACTATCTTGTGATGCAGGGCACAGAACTTGTGTGCTCTGACAGAGGGCACTTCAGTCATACGGAGTTGAGATAGAATGGTGGTTCTAGAGCTGGAGCATTTACAGCTCCACTCTGTGCGTCAAAAACAGCTGAAGAAACTATAGATACTATTGTAGTATTAATAAGAAATGTGCTCAGAAAAAAAGCAGAGGCTATTGTCAAAAATCTGTTATCTAACAATATTTTAGGATGATGTACAATATTAGTCATGTATTAAAGGAAAAAGAATTGGTATGTTGGAGGTACATGCATATATTTTGTTTGACAGTTGAACAAAATCAATGATGTGCAAATGAACAAGAAACTCATGGCTTGTGCGAAGTGCACATATAAGGGGATCCTACACTTTGACTTTTTATTCTTTTATCAATACTAAGCAAGGGGCTGGGGATTTAGCTCAGCGGCAAAAGCGCCTGCCTGGCAAGCACAAGGTCATGAGTT